AATTGGTGCCCTCTAAAGTGTGACACCATTCGCATTCGCCCCACCTCGCTCATCTCTAAAGTCCAAATAGGAAACTTCCAGACGGGTTCCCCTGGGCTTTGGCCCGCCCGTGGAAGAGCAACGCCCAGTCGGAGAGCGAGGCCGCCCTCCCAAGTTGGCCCTCCCGGATCGGGTTCACAGGGCACAGCCGCATCATATTGTAGGGCTGCGTTAGGGCGTGAAACGGCAGATACGAGGCGAGGGCGGGATCCCTGCGGTCCCTTGAAAACTAGCACTCGAGACTATGAACTTGTCCCGTTCCCCCATCCCAAGTTTCCATATCTTTCTTCCCTTCCCGTATCTTTTCTTCCTTGTCGTCTCGTGCGACTGTCTTTCTTTCCCGGGCCCAGCGATTCCACCATCTGGCTGACGGGTGAATCAAATGGCCATCTTTCAGGAAAAAGGCCGGTGGCCGCTCGTCCGGCGCCTGCGCTGGCTGAGAATCGGCCAATACGTGCTGAACGTGACGATAATAGCCATCAGCGCGTTCCTGCTCGCCGTGCTGATTTCCAACGACGCAGGACTAGGAGGCAGCGTCACGCTGGCAATGGTGGTGGTGAGTCTTGTTCCCTTGTTGCAACTATCGCCCCGTCCGTGTTTGCTAACGGCGACTCTTTTCCAGGCGGCCCTGACCCTGGTTCTCACCTTTGTGCAGCAGTGTTTCGGCACGCGCCTGGCCGGATACCGGCGACGCGGGTGCCTCATCTTCTTCATCTTGTTCGACCTTCTCTGCCTGGGGCTGCAGGTGCCCCTGGTTGCTGTCCTGGCGGCAGCCGGCCTGCCCGTCGACTGCCACGGCATCGCATTCGGCAGGGACCCTCATGTCTGTGAGTATTGACGGGTGCGCAGGGTAAAACGTGGACTGCTGCTGACCTGCATCGTAGTCGGGGAGTCTGGCCGTGGACTGACGCCGACTTTCTGCGCCGTGCCCAACGCCACCTTTTGGCTGTCCATTATTCTCATGTACGTTTTTACTTTGGGAAGCTGGGGGGGTTTGTGCTGACGGTTTCTGCTTAGGTTGTCTTATATTTACACCATTAGCCTTATTACTCGACAGATTGTCGCGGTGAGCGGGGAGCTGAAGCTGCTCCGGCAGGAGGAGAAGGACGTTGCGAGCCAGGAGCGCATCACGGCCATCATGGCCGCGCACCAGGCTCCCCCGCGGACTCGGAACCGCGCGCGGCCGAGCCAGGTCGAGACGGTGGACTTGCGGACCGAGTCCGTCCGGGGCATGGGCGAGCGTGATGCCGGGGCCGCCGTGGTGCCGCCGGCTGCAGGCCCGGCGGCTGAGGAGCCTCCGCCTTATATGTCTGCTCGGCCGGCAAGGGATTTAGCGACGAGCTTGAAGAAGAATTAACACATGGGGGGTATTTTGTTTTGACATGTAAATGTAACGAGAATGGGCTTTGGGGGAAGAGGAGGCGGTATGCCTGTACAAGGGGGTGTTGCCGTGCGATCAATGGTGTGCACGCGGCATGGCAACCAAACCGGACGCTTCATGTACAGCCCATCTTCAAGGTTCTAACAAGATGGTAAATGCGATATTGTACACTAGGAAAGTCTACACCACGAACTCAGTTGCCCGCGCCGTCGTCCCCTACCTAGTTCGACACGCCTAACGTAAACCTCTGGTCGTTGGCGTTCGCACAAGCCGCGTCAGACTCTCTGCGCCGCGCTCGACAGGCACTGCCAGCCGTGGCTGCCGGGTTGAGCGGTGTGCCGGCGCGGCGAGGATTAGAGGTAAGGAGCCCATGTTGAATTTCGAGATGGCTTATGGGAGATGGAGGTGTTGGGTCGAAGCTGCGAGAAGGATGGATAGGGGAGCGCTGGTTGCCTTGTGGTTCGCGACATGGTGGTTGAGCGCGGGTGCTCTATATAGCTTGGAAGGAAGAATACCATTCGAGATGCTAGCATTTCTGCAGTTTTCAACGCCGATAGTATCAACGTATTTACTCGGCGCTTCACCAGACAATGTGGCAGTTCCATCGAGTCTGCAATTAATAGAAAAAGTCTTGTTAAAAATCTTTATCGTATTTTAGAAAATGAGTAGGTAGTATATATCCGTCGTACACCTCGACTGCGGCCCGTTTTGAGACGGGATATGGGACGAAACGCGGCGCCAACGTCAAACTCTTGGGAAGATGGCCCCTTGTCTTGGCTTGTATCGCAGGTTTCGTTGTTGGTCATCATGCCAACATGACTAGCTCATGCGGGAGGAGCGAATATGGCCGACTGGCTTGGTCAAGCCCATCGGTTGGATGGCAAGAGAATACAAGTCCCATTGAATGAGCTCAACTTGGAGGAATAGCCGTGAAAATATGATGTAACGGCAGCTCTGGAAGAGTTTGTTGGGGTGAATAGACGCGGCCATTGAAAGCCTCTCCTTACTCATACAATGGAAGTCGAAGCTCTTGGGAGTAGTTAGCCAACAAAATCACTTGCAAGACACCAGAGAGCAACATACACGAATGTAGTGCGGCGTGCAGTTGGCCTGGTCTCCGCAACCAATCCTGGCTCAAAGATTGCACGAGAAGCGGCCCCGGCAGTCAGCGTGCTCACGACGGCGGCAACAACCCAGAGGATGCTGAAGGCGGATATTTTTCCCAGGGAGTGGGTGATGTTTTGGAATGAAAAGATGATTGAACGCGACCCGTGCCTTTGAGAGAGCTTTTGTGGCAAAAACATCTTCACTTATATAGTACATCACTTATCTACTGCCACCGAAACCACAAAGGTGTTGCGCAACCACACTCTCTTCACCTGTCGTCAAGTGCTGAAAGTGCCTCGCGATATCAGTGTATACTTATAGCCACGATCACGGCCGAGTCGCCTGATCGTGCCATCTCACCCGCCGATTTCGCACAAGCTCCGGGCCGCAGCACATAATTCTGCGGCAGACCAGGATTTGCGTCGTTTTCTGTTGACTTGTCCATAGTCGTGGTACTTACCTGTTGCTCCCCTTTTTCCTGTCTGGGACTGTTCATTAGATTCCGGAAACCTCAGTGCAACAATGCTGCCAAGTCTGGGCTCAAGTATCTGCTCCCGGGCAAGTATCCTGCATCATGCAAGTTACCTCGCCCAATCACAATTTTTTTCCATGATATACTACACTCGTTCATCACCCTTTGCGCTGCCAAAGCTGCCGAATCGATTCGTCCATCATCCTGACGAATGATTATCCGTGAATCTGCTCCAGGATGCCACCATGAGTTCCTTGGACTCTCGTGTATTTCGATAGGGAAGCGGGATAAATTGCCACGCCAAGTTATCGATAATCGCATGTCTCACCCGACTAGAACCTAGTTGCTCCCCCTTCAGCACCGAGTTGGCGACATCGCCAGTGTGGCCGCCTCCCTCGGTGCCACGCAAAGAGCTCCGGCTACTGCAGTCCTTCGGCTGAATTCTAGTTATCATGCTGTGCCTCTTCTTCTGCACCCTTGGTATCAAGCCAATTGATTACACGCTTAGCCATAAATACTTACCATGAGCGGGACTTCATGTCAGCTTTCCTTTGTTATGTTATTGTATGTTACAAATGGCATCAATCTGAATGGCTGGTTGTGTAGAGCGATCCAGAATACATCAGCGCCGCGTAAAAACTTGTCTATGAGCAATAGCAATAAAATCATTTGGTTTGCCGGTACATGGGAGAGGGAAGGCTTCGTATGGTGGCGCCCAGGCTAAAATAGTTGGTAACTGATAGCATTACGTTTATGTTGACTTGGGAACAGTCAAAGGATGTGACCGCTCGCCTTTCCCGGCGGGAGCAAAGATTTGTCCACCAGCGGCATATCAGCTAGAGGTGCCACGTGGTATATTTACAGTGGCAATGACTCAGCTATCAGTTGATGAAATAGATCACACTGTGTTGATTTTTGCCTATATCGTGCTGGTTTTCTGTATATCGCGCTTCTGGGTGGCTTGGTTACATAATGTGTTGCAGGATCAAAGCGTCCATGCAGGCAAATATTCTCCAACTAGTGCCCTCTGAATAGTCCCCATAGTTCAAAAGATCTTTGTATGCTCGGTCAGTGCCAGACCACTGCTGTGTTATTCTGTGTGTCTTCCCAAACAGCAAGTAGAGCCCACTCTGTGGGCGAATATTCATCCCGGACTGTCAAAGTCCCAAACACAAGCTAGGCAAAGATCGCGACACAAGGGCCGTTGGACAGATTGGCAGACTCATTACAAAGAAGAAATCATGTAGTTGCATTCATATTACTGCCGCAACGGCTATAGATATTGTGCGCCCTCATTGAAGCGGAAGATTAAGAGCTGTCCCGACTCGCAGCCAATAACAACCAGTTGACCCTATGAATTTGAACTCTCACAGTGTGGTCCTCAGCTGGGTGATACATCTTTGGCAAGACAATGAGCTTTTTTCCATTGCAAGTGATCCATTTCTGAGGGCCAAACTCCTCGACGCCATAAGGACACCATGGCTCGGGTTTTATCCACGGCGACTTTTCACCATTGCCTAGGTCTTTGATAAGTATGCATCCTCGTTCTGTCACCACGCTCTGCGGGAACTCAGCGTTGACGTGCATTGAGCAGGCCAGGATCCTTTTTGGCTGTAAGCTTGAGCTGGCAGCTCGTGTTCCCAGCTCCCCAAGTCACGTTCCATATCGATGTCCCTACCGCATCAGATGCGACGAACATTGTTGAATCTGCCGAGAACGTCATGTAAGAACCTGATACGACATACTTTCCATCTGGTGAAAACAAAACGCCCATGATGAAGGCTTCATGGCCACGAAGTACTCGTGCCCCTTGCATATTTCTTTCTTTCCCCTCTTCCTCCTGGCCCGATTTAGCGCCTGCGACCTTGGATTGTGTGATATTCCACACACGTACGATCCTATCGTCAGATCCTGAAGCTACAAGTCTGCCATTTCGCGATAATGCCGCGCACCGTACCCGATTTTTGTGTCCATAGAGAACACGCGACTTAGAGTTGCGATCCACCCCCCAGATACGGACAGTCTGGTCGTCGGAAGCTGATATCAATTTGCGAGAATCATGGGCGAATGCGAGTGATTGGACCTCTTTTCTGTGCTCACATATTCTTCGTTGGAGCAGGCCTGAGTTTCCATCCCACAAGCAAATCAAGCCATCCATAGAGGCCGATGCAACCCATTTCCCATCCTCGGATATTGTGATACTTGTGATGGGCCACGTATACGGTGCATTTTGGTCTCGTCTTACACCAACTTCTGACTGCACTTGGGCTTCATCTTGACTGTCGTAGTGCCAGATGCAAGTGGTTTCGTTCCTCGAGCAGGTGGCAACGCATGTCTCAGAAGGAGAGAATGACAAGCCATTAATGCTTTATTTGTGGTTTAGTACTATTAGTGACTGTTCAACGTCCCATGGTTCTCGCCATATTCTGGTTGTTCTGTCCCATGATCCAGATGCTAGAAAGGAGCCATCAGGTGAGAAAGAAACTGTTGTTACGCGATCCGTGTGTCCACTTAGAACCTTGGGAGGAGCCTCCGATTTCCAGTCCCAGACGCATACTTTGTAGTCGCGGTCTGTTCCGGTAGCGATATATTTTGAATCTGGAGAGAAGGCAAATCTGGCCGCGGATTCCATCGTACATGCAGGCACAGGTAGCTCCTTTTGCAACCTCAACATTCGTCTTGCTTGTACACCGGACTCTGAGTCATCAACGCATCCATTCACGGCATGGCAATATATGCCATTGTCCAGTTTCCAAATAGAAACATGCCTCGATGACGTCAGGCCCAGTAGACTACCATCTTTCGACACTCGGACCGACTCAATATTTACTCCGTGAACACGGACATCTTGATGTAAGATGACCTCAAAACATGGAACCCTCCATATAATGATGGTATTTTGCACCGATGCCACTAGCATGCTTCCATCGGTTGAAAAGCTCACGTCCCTGACTGTATCTGGCTCGTATTTGGGCAAGTACCCAATATCCAGTAACCTCTGCTGGATCCCAGTAGAAATATTCCAAACCTCTATAATATTACAATCTGATGCCGCTATAAATCCTGTGGAAGAGAAGGCAATGGTATCCACGTCATTTACAGTATATTTCCCATTGCCAAAAGCTCGAAATGTATGTTGCACATTCCCCGAAACGGTGTCCCAGTGACGGACAGTGCCATCATTAGAGCCCGAGGCTAAGAGCTTGCCATCGTAAGAGTAGGCGCAGCAATCAACAAAGTCTGTGTGTCCCTCAAGGATATCGATGGGAAGCTCCCAAGACTTTTTGAAGGTTACCGGGCCTTCTAGGCTTGGCCATTCTTGCTCAAGGTGTGTTTTTTGGATAATGCTATTGCGAGGCCAAAACAGAAGAGTATTGCTGGCGTTAGAATCAGTTTCATTCTGAATCATCTGTTGAAAATTAATCAACCGATGCGTCTCAAAGACGATGCTCAAAAATTTCTGGTTCCGATGGACCCTATCATCCAATTTTGGCTTCAGGTTGAACTAATAGCACATTAGTATCGGTCTTGTGACTAGGCACCCCTTTCAGCGGACTTTTGTCAAGACGAGATGTAGAAAAACATACCTGAACATGGCTTTTTAGCTCTGATATCAGAGTCTGAGCTTGAGATAGCCACTTTTTAGATACCAAGAGATCCAGCCATTTTAAGATATTCTCAGTAAGAAAGTTGATCACCGTGTCCATCACACATTCGGCATCATCTATTCTACAGAGATGCCGCATCCAATACAGTGCCGGATAGGTTTTGGGGACGGGCGCATCCTCAGTTTGGCTCTCGCATGAGCTTTTTGAAGATGAATCCCAATATTCCGACACGGACTTGAGACAACGTTCCGTAATTTGCGCATGTGTTTTAGAGAAATCATTGATGGTCTCTTTGATAATAAAAGTTTCTGGCGGTTTTGCGTGAAAAGCACACCGCTATATCACGGAATTCGAGGGATCCGAAACATTTCTCAGCAAGGATTTGGATTTTGAAATGTGATGGCATGTTCAAAAGTGCTTCCAACTCTGTAACATCAAGAGGACTAAAAGCGGCTGCCATTGTACGCAGCACGTCGAGGCAGAGCTGAAAGTCATTGAAAGGTAGATTCACAAGTTTGTTGTACAAGAGAGAGTATAGGTTATTGGTTGGGTCTGTATATGCTGATGTGTGATGTGACAGCTGTTTAAGACTATCCGAAGCATGCCAGGGATCTTCCCGTTGTATCCCCTGACACCCTATGTCCACTCGTAGGAAACTTCCCGACGACGCCTCGCGTAGGAGGTTTGTGATTTCGATTCGGAATCCGCTCCCCAGATTCCACCGACTCGCTATTTGGTAGACTTTGGGGGGAATGTAAAGCGGATTCAAGATGTTTTGCACTCTGTCATTTTCGGCACCAAGATCTATGCATTGTATTTTCTCCATGGGAAGGTCGCTTGACTCAAAACTGTCCTTGAACCACTCATTTGAGCCGGATATCAACCATTTGAACTTGTCCGACAATCTCAGCGTTGTCATAATGAATGATATAAAAGACCCTGGGCCCTCGACGCCGAACTCAATGAGGAAAATAGTTGACTCAAACATTTCGTCGCCGACCATGGCATGCAGGAGTAATGTTAGAGCGCAAACATCATGGAAGTCCGAAAAGTCCCGCCTGCCTGTTGATTTGAGAGCATCAGTCAGGTGTCTGTTCAGCAAGGGTTGGTCTACCAGCACGAGGTAGATGAGACTCCTAAGGACAGACAAGACGCTGTCCACTTCATTTTCGCCAATACCGCAAACTGAAAGTGATAAAAACTTGGGTTCTGAACTCGACCTTCTCTGTAGCCGATACTCATGAACAATTGACCAAATAACCATCGGTCTACAAGCATCTGGTGCACCACTGATCCATAGCATACGTGCGTCTCCTTCGGAGAAGCTGGTGTATTGGGAGGTCGAGCTCACCCATTTATAAAGACTTTTGATGGTTCGGGTATCCAATTCTCGATTGCTGTTTCGCTCATCGGTTGCGCTCAAGATGTCCAACGTGATGCCCACATCGCTCTCCTTAGGCTCCTGCTTCCCTTGGCTGGTCGCATCAGCTTTCTTGCCATCAGAGGGCATGGCAAGGTGCCAGATATCAATTTTGTCATCGCTAGCGTGAGAGCATGTAATCCGACGTTCTGCGGTCATTACGTCGGAAGCGTTCAAGGTTACAACTTCGGAAAGCAGGCCTTGATTGACCAGGGCAAAGCTATCCACTCGATCGCCCATTTGTTCGGAGTAAATGATGCGAGCTTGATATAGAAGAACTTCTAGGTAGAGATTAATTATGCGGTTTTGCAAGCTTCCTTTATCGCTCAAGTAATAGCCTTTCTTGATTTGATCACTGTTAATGCCATCAAGAAGCTTAGGGAGAAGAGTGTACCCGGGCATGCTGGATACGACGTGATCAACGCCGGACACTACTTCTGGTCGGGCAGAAGAACACGAAATCAACTATATAATCTCCAATTGTTAGTATTCCGCTCGTCATAGAACGCTAGCAAGGGACTTGTGCAGCTAACCTCTACACAAAGACATGCTCCCGCCCATGGTAGGGCTGCTTCCTCAATATTGCAGAGTAAAGATTTGATCACATTTCCCGTTTTTCTAGAGAATTCGAACGACTGTGTGCCAGAATCGATATCTTTCTGGGTGTTCAGACAGAAGTTGGTGAATTTTTGCGCATGCTGTCGCCTTTCTTGATGATTTGAACCTGAAAATAGGTTTTCATTTGCGTCAAATACAGGAGGTTTCCGCCCTTGTTCCAAATCGTTTACGTACAAACATAGCGTCATTGTTCTTTCGTAATGCTCTAGTAAGTCGTTATGTCGTGGTCTTAGATTGTCATAAGCCACGTCCCACAAGTTAGAGACCGCTTCATGAAAAGATTCCGCCGAATCTACCTTGCACAATGTGGATGGTGCCGAAGCAGGTGTACCTTCAACCTCATTTAACTGCGGACTGACTTTATCTGACCCCTCTGGATCTTCGATCGAGGTGTCGGCGAACGTTCCGCCCTCTTTGGCTGCTCTCTGTGGCTTTTGTGTCGTTTCGAGTCCCTCCGCCGTTAGCTTGGGGCTGAAGGTCATATGTTCACTTGTTGGGGATTTTGGGTCATCCCCTTGGCCTCCTGTGTTTCGTCTTTTCAACTTTTCGGGGCTGAAATATTGCCCAGCATCCTCGTTAGATTGGCCATGGTGCTCCTGAAACTCTATGACGCACAAAGAACGTAAAGGGAAGGATTGTTGCCAATAGAGTGAAAATTGAAGTAGTCGTCGGTGGGTTGTTACTTGGGAAGTATTATGGTCATTGATGCCCGAGAAAGAGAAAGCATTGAGGTTGGGCATTGCTAGGAGTACCTGTCTCCCTACCTAGGGGGTAGATGTATTCAATGTAGTATGATGGGGATGGACTGAGACAAAGGCCTGGAACAAAGGCCTGGGCTCCTCAGTAAGGCGAGAATAAGTTGGTTTTGGAGTCGAACACGTCCGGACTGCTTCATCTTGCTGTCCAGCACCAAAACACCAAGTTTGTGGAACTGTTTTTGCGGAATTATGACAATTCCATCACTAGCACGAGTCATAATTATTATCCACTGTAGTACAACAACAATGTCATAGAGGATGGAAAGCACAGTCCCCGAGATCTGGGTGACGAGAAGAGCAAAAGAACACACGAGGACATCCGCAAGCTCCTAGTCGCTGCCACTATCAAGCAGAAATGTGGATAAGATGCAGGACCTGCTTGAAATTTTTCAGCACTCTGATGGTGTGTTGGCACTCGGTCTACCTTTCGTCTCATATAGCTGCCATTAACTCGTTACTTGGTCGTTCTTTAGAAACTGGTAAGCACAGTTTATCCATCCCTCGAAACTTTCATCTTGGAAATGAGCTGATAATTTAGTCAATGAATTATGCTTTGATCTTTGGAGATTCAATTCGAAGCTCAATCGCGTCTCCTATTTTGTCACTTACTCACCCAGCATCAAGACGATGCGAAGCTGTTTACTTATGAAGAGACGACCAGATATGCCGAGTTTCCGGCTCTAGATTTGAACATGAATGAAAAAGAGATATTTAGTGATCAAACTCAAGCCGATCATGACGAGATTTTTGACGCCCTGGATTGGCTGCGACGTAAAACCGTTAAAGACATCATCGAACTGACAGTTCCAGACAGGCTTGTGAATCCGTATGACGAGGTTAGATTAAGCAAATATGTTGAGAAATTCAAGGGAGAAGTGCGTTTTCTCGACATATCCATATCAGTTTTCAAAGATTCGGACTCTAAAGAACACGGTACACTGCAACGAATCCGAGAGCTCCATCTTTATTCAGCGGCAAACGAGCGACAATTCAGAATTGGTTGAGTGAGGATGGGATTCGTCTTTTTACAACCGTAAGTTCCACGGATGTCGTGCTCCTCTATTTGTCCGTTATACATATCACATGTTTACAAACCACGAATACTAGCTCACTACCCTCGAAAATTATGTTGTGCAGGTTTATGTCCCACGGCCAGTATCACCGCGCCAAGCACTAAACCCAGTGCGAAGGAATTAATGACTGAAGAGAATGCCGGGCCACAGTCAAATTTATTGGAACAGAGTTCAGGAGACTGAGTAATGAAATAAATAACAAACGAACAGCTATGGGTCATGAGAAGCTCGTAGTGCGCGTCAGTGTCCGTCCATGGAATCCAACTCGTGAAAGAGTAGCCGACTTGGAAGAAATGTAAGTCCATGACGCTGTCACTCGGAGCACGAAGCCATAAATTCACTCTTTTGCTGACCGATACCAGAGCTGACCGGGCCGTCCCAAAACTATCTCGTTTTATTAAAAGCTACCATACCTACGTGCAGGACCGGATGACAGAAGACTCTAAACCATTCCAGCCCGTTCGAGTCGCTGTGATCGATAATGGTGTTCTAAGCATTTCTCCATCACATGAAACCCATTCGGCTTTTCCAAATGGCCTGCATACTTTTAACAATCTATCCGCCGATGATAACGTGGAGGGCTCGTCCTCCAAAAACATGTCTCAAGGTGAATACCAAATCGATAAAAATGGCAGACAAAATACTCTGTCGTCACCCATGAAGAAAGGGCAATCCTTCGTCGAGGAAAATTTTCGCGTTAGTCCTTGGTTTTTTGCATCCGACCCGCATGAAACCGAGATGGCAAATCTAATATGCGCTATTGACCCATGTTGTGATCTCTACGTAGCCAAAGTCAACGAAGAGAGATCTGGCATCATCCCGGCGCGAGTCGAGCGGGTGAGTAGAGTAGCCCCTGAATACTCCCTATGCCGATAACGTGGTAGATCGAGTGGTCTAGACGCGATTTCCGCTAATACTTGATGGCTCCATCCCTGTTCAGGCAATCCGATGGGCAATAAAGCAAAAGGTTGACATCATTTCCATGAGCTTCGCCATTTTGGAGAGTACGGAGGGACTGAAAGAAGCCTGCGAGGACGCCGCAAAGGCAGGCATCATAATGCTATGCAGCACCCATGACGAAGGATTGAATATCGTTTCCATCTATCTTCCATGAGACCCTAACCATCAAATCTTGTGACGAATTTGGGGCGGTGGCTAAAAATGCGCCGCAGAACTATGATAATGCCATCCGGGGCATGGACGTGGCTGCGGGCAAGATCCCCTTTCTCGAGTCGGAAGATTACATCTCGGGAAGCTCAGTCGCAACTGCTATTGCTGCGGGACTGAGCTTGATCTTATCCTGCGACCGACTGGCTCAGGGATACAAGAAGTATCAGAAAGCCGAGAGGACTACAATTCTTAGACATCATTTTAAAAAAAATGGCTTTCGAAAACCAGAAGTACATTCTTCCGGAAAAGTTTGCTGAGATCGACAAGAAGATCAAGGATGGCAGAGAAGTTGACGCCCGAGCCATCATAGAAGGACTTTTCAGAGACGAGATATACGGGACATCGTATTGGTAGTGATAACTTGGCGGACTCTGTTTTCGGATGTGTGTACCTGTGTATGACAGAAACTACCTACGGTTGTATGACTTGTTTTCATCCACAGCTCATGCAATGTATTCGGTGAAGTATGGCTCCGCAATAAAGTTAATTTGGATTTTTTCCATGGTCAGAGATGATGGTTATGTCGGTTCTTCCGCCAGCGTGATACCATGTGCGTCTTGGATGGCCCCCGGTACTCGAGGACTCCTCCCCTTTCTCAATTACTGTCTGCCACGCCAGTGATTTTTGAGTCGGAGTGCAAACGTGGGCAGAGAATCCCAAGAGTGGCAATTGCTAAAAACTCACGATGACGGCGTACAAACTTCGAGTCCACCTCCATCAGACTACTCCATCACCAGTCCCTTCATACCTCCCCAACGGGTGCAAGCCCACAACTCGATGAACGCAAGGTCTTTGACAGCGCCTTGAACGACTCCAGCTTGTGGGACCGGATACGGGTGCGATTGACAAGTCTAGGCTTTTCTAATAGCCGTTCAAGATTGCCAGCCAAGATTGACGTCAGTTACCCCAAGGTATGTGGCGGCACACGTGGGTGGCTTCTTGAGCGAAGGTGAACGGTGGGTCAATATTGTACATTGACAGTCGAAGGGTTTCGCATGTGTCGTCGCATTGCTACTTAAGGTGGCGCTGGGCTTGCCTCTGCGTCCGCGTCTGCCTCCGAGCCCGAAATTCCCGAGATTTTTGACTCTGGATGACAACAACTGGGCAAAGAGCACCCCAGTCATCTCCAGCTCATCAATCGATGCCACCGCGCATGATGAGTCCATGAACTGGCCTTCGCCGGCTCGTTATTAGACTCTTATACGACCCGCAGACGGCCATCGCTCACAGTCTCGCCGACGGATTCGGCTTGACCAAAACTAAAGCACGCATACGTCTGTTGCGAATCCTTGATGCGTCGTCCATATATCGACATGGGCAACCAGGTCGCTCACAATGTGGCATCCCCCTGTCAATTTTATTACCCTTCATTGTAAGTTGACGTGGGAAGTGCCGAGGTGCTTGTTCAGTATCAAGAAACCGCCGGTGCTAATCCCTCCAGATGCCTGGATACTGTCTATGGGACTTTTGTCGTTTCCCGTCCTATACACATACGGCAACCTGGCGGCCATTGACGCTTACTTTTTCGGAGCGAGCGCATCCACTGAGTCCGGACTAAACACGTAAGTTTCCTCGGCGGCCATGAGATGAGGTAGCTGTGAGAAGATGAAGTATGTGTTGTATTAACACGGCATCTGCAGCGTCGACATTAAGAACCTAGCGCTGTACCAACAATTGTACCTGTATTTCATTCCCATACTTACAAACATGTGCTTTATCAACATTGTCGTCGTCGTCGTCCGCCTCCATTGGTTTAATCAGCACCTTGACAGGTTCGGTAAGCTTCAAGCTTTGCCACGGGTCGCCGATCTTCCCATGAAACCTCTGTCTCTCCATCGCGATATGTTGAGAGCTTCTGACAAGCTAATACTTTGCCTTACTGGACAGGTCCGGCATTGATCCGCGTCAAGAGGCGCAAATCTGGCAATGGGGGAGTACATTCGGATCCTGAAGTTGCTGAACCCACCGAGGTCTCATCATCCACGGCTTCAGCTGCGCTGTCTAATATCCCCAGTCATGTAGGCGATCAGCTCGACAGCCAAGGAACTAGGCAGCCTTCGAAAAATGACAATGACGGCGGGGTCGGCGAGATTCGACCGGAGCCGGAAACGCACAACCATGCCCTCGAGTTGTCTTTGGAACCGACTGAGAAACCAACCCAGCGCATTGCCTTCCATCCATCAGTGTGGGACAAGCCTACGAATTCCAGGAGAGATAGTACACTGTATATCCCTGGCCCACGTGAACGAGACAGAGGTTTGTTAGATGACCCCAAGCAAGGCCGTGGATATTCATGCTCACTTCTCCCCCTTCATCAAGGAGATCCGATTGTTGAATTGAGAAATCGAAGACTCAGTGGTTAGCTTACGACGCCCTAGATGGCATCACTTCCCAATCCATTATGTTCTTACCAAAGCCACAGACGCCGATGCGACATGCTCACCTCGCCCCAGCGATGCAGATGCAGAAGATTCGCGACGCCGCTTGACAAGAGCCAAGTCACTTGATAGAGCTGCTGGTGCAGCTGGATCCATTTTCATCATTGGAAGAACACCAACCGTTCCGCAACTCTCCAGAGCCCCAACATTGCATCGAGCAGCAGCCGACAGAATGCCGTATCTCTCCAGGAGAGCAACCATCGGACGGAATTCACGGTTTCATAATCTGACAAGCCGAGACCGCCAAGAACTGGGAGGAATCGAGTACCGAAGCTTACAACTCTTGCTCAAAGTTGTCGTCATCTACTTCTTCGGCATGCATATATTCGGGGCCATCGGCCTCGTCGGCTGGATCCTGCACGCCGATCCCAAGTACGACGCCTACCTGCAGCAGTGCGGCCAAAATAGAATCTGGTGGGCATTCTATACCGCCCAGAGCATGATGGACAACCTTGGCTTCACCCTCACGCCCGACTCCATGATATCCTTTCGACAGGCAGAGTGGCCGCTGCTCCTCTCGACCTTCCTGACCTTGGCAGGAAACACTCTCTACCCCGTCTTTCTCCGGCTCGTCCTCTGGACCATGTCCAGGATGGTGGCCCGAAAATCAGTCACGCAGGAATCTCTACAGTTCCTCCTAAACCACCCGCGACGCTGCTACACGCTGCTCTTTCCACGGGGCACCACCTGGGCCCTTTTCGGCATCATTTTCATCCTCAACTTTATGGACGCATTCTTCATCCTGATCCTGGACCTGAACAATGCCGAAGTTGCGTCCCTGCCTCCGGGTCCCCGTGTCGTGGCTGCCATTTTTCAAGCCGGATCGTCACGACACACGGGCGCTTCCGTGTTCAACCTCGCCAACGTCAGCCCTGCCGTCCAATTCAGTCTCCTCATCATGATGTACATCTCCGCCTTCCCCGTCGCGTTGAGCATCCGGGCCTCCAACACGTACGAGGAAAAGTCGTTGGGAATCTACCGAGTAGGCACGGAGGAGGATCTCGACGAAAACCGCGGGCGGTCCTACCTCGTTCGCCATCTGCAGTCACAGCTAAGCTTTGACTTGTGGTATATATTCTTGGGTATTTTTGTTCTCAGCATTTCGGAAGCCGGCAAGATTGAACAGCTAGCTCAGCCTGTATGGTCATTCCTTCCTTTCTTCTTTTCGCATCACTGGTGCTTGGTTGCTAACCGTGCCAGTCATTTGGGTTGTTCCCCATTTTCTTCGAGGCCGTTTCCGCATAGTAAGTCGTCACAGCTTACCCAAGGGCGACAAGAGGTCCCTGAGTTTTTTCGTTGTAAAAAAAATAATCGGGACAAGCATGCTAAAGCTCTTTTCATTTCTCCAGCGGCAATGTTGGGCTGAGCTTAGGGTACCCGGGCATCAACGCGTCGCTGTCAACTGAATTCTCGACGTTTGGCAAACTTGTCATTTGTGCCATGATGATACGGGGGAGACATCGGGGGTTGCCTTACACGTTGGATAGAGCTATTATGCTTCCGGATGAGCATCTCATCGGTGCTGCTACCCGTGAACGCATTACGCGGGAGGATGAATAGCGGGTGCAGAGATGGTCCTGGTATGACTTGACGTGAGCGTCGCGTCGACAAGGCGGTCAGGCGATTAGTGCCTGGTCAACAGTGAACACACCTTTGTGCTTGATCCAGACCATATAATGGAGGGCCCAGGTCCTCGTATGAAAAGGGTACGCTGCAATGGCGGATCCGTGGCGCCAACAAGCTCAAAGAGCCCAGTGTTGTAATAATGGAAATACTTACTCAAATTCGGCCCGTCGCAAATAGAGCTATTGCCGTTGGCGCAGCTTGCGCGTGTCCAAGCACATCCCCGGATCTGAGTGCCGTCCTGGCCGCCTCCTACAATTCAGCTGGGCCATGATTCGCCCTCCCAATGCCTATCTATTGCGATTTGTCTAATAGACTGGAATAAAATGGCTTGACGATGCATCTCAGCCGTCCCAACTATTTCCTGCTATTTAACGCCACTCGCTCACCTGCGTTCTCGCCTCACCGCGGCATCGCCATGCTCAGAACTGCATGCTTGTAGTTTTGCTTTGCCGGCGGCTGCAAAGTAATAAAACAACCATGTCGAATGTGCATCTCTCTCTCAATTTATCAAATGGGAAGACGATTCACGCCTTGACAAGGCTTCCAACCTCGTGGCACGCACACTCTCGCCCCTGCCGAATCGTGATACCGCCAGCTTCAACGCACTACATCGCCCGGACTGGCGACGCATACCAAGTCTGAAGCCAGGGGACGTGTTTCGTGGGTTGCTACTGTGAGGT